TTTGCTTTCTTTTAAATCATTGCTAAAGAGCACAAGTTAAATAATTGTTTATATTTCAAAATTAGTGTAAAAGCTGTTATAATAGAGTTGTAAAATCAAAAACTTCGTTAGCGGTTTGACGTTTTCCGTAAACGTCAAGCTAAAACTCTCTATTATTTCCGGAAACCATTGTTTACACTTTGAAAACATCTTAAGTTCTCGAATTTTAAGTCTTGTTTCGTCCTCTTAATTATAGTTATCAATACTTCGCTTGTATATTTTCCTTAATATCATGCTGCTTTTTGGCCTGTTTTAAAATATTTTCAAAGCTCACGAGCTATGTATTTTTAAAAAAATTTTCGCCGGGTTGTTTGCGAAAAGTAAACAAACAAGACGCTCTGTTGAGCGTTTAGTCGCTGGGGTATTAAAATAAGGCACGTCTTGATTAGAATAACTTACCATATATCATCAACCTCGTACCCAGGGCTTCTGCGCTCGTTGCTCTCTCTTCATTCTCGTACCCAGAATCGTTCTTACGCGCGGTCAACAGAGTGCGACGAGGGGCTCTGGAACAGGTGGGCAATTTGTCTGAGCATGCGCGAAGAAAATCAATATGGCGACATATCGTAGGAGTGTTTCGTGAATTTATCTGGTTTTAAAGCTGATAAAACAACATTTTAATGAACGAAAACTTTGTAATATTTAGTGGAAAACATTAAGCTATGCATTCCAAAGGTTTTAATTTGAAAATAAGTACTTTTGCTTTATTTTATTGCTTTTTATGCTTTGAAAACAGGCAAGCTCATTTTTTGGCAAAAATCTAAGCTAATATTTTACCCATCATTTGTTTAATCTGAACAGAAATAGATAGAACACTTGGCTATATAAGTTACAAAGGTATTGTTAGGTTATCTGAAAGATTTCAGTGTTCCTGGTACACATTTTAACAAAGAATGAAAATATGAAATGTAATTTCAAAAATTAAATATGCATATCACAAACAATAGTTTTTATTAGAACAGCACATAATAAGTTGTTATTTTCTATTTTTACAAAAACAAGTTTGGAAACAGGATTTAGTCCTCAAGCTTGATGTCATATTCCATTTATTTGGATATTTCTATAAAGGAATGTGAAATAATCATTTAATCTTGTGCAAAATTTGATACCAACACACATGTGACCAGATACTATCACCTAAAAATAAAAGAAAACAGAACTTAAATTTATCATCTAATGCTATGAAAAAAATCTTAGATTCTACAGGCATATAGTGAGTACAATTCTTTAACAAATTCATTAAAATAAGTTAAGTTATACTATGATAAGAGGATGACAATAGATAACAACATCAAATGTTGTCATCTTCATTGTCCAAAAAAAGTGCCGCGCGCATTTTTCATGGTCGCATGACTGGTATTGCTACAAACCCAGGTGAAAAAGCAATTAGAAAAACCTGGTTTTGGGTGATGAGCATAGTCAAATTCTTGACTTATTCAATTTTCTATGTTTTTCCAAGTAAACAGATTAAACATTGAAATAAGCCACATTCGGGACTTCATAGAATCCAAACTATTGTGTATGGACCAGACTTTTTTCAATTTTCTGTGATTTACATAACACTAGTTATAATTTAAGGGTCAACCAGTATTGTTCAAGACATATTATCTTTCCAAAACACCTTTACAAAATACTAACCCAAGCATATCAAAAATAGTGTACATTTACAAGGGCAATTTCAACCCTCTGGCACATTTTTCCCATGAATGATTTCAATTCTAATAGAAAGACTATAGATAAAACTTTGATTTAAAGCTAGTTTCAAGTGATGAGAATACCCTAATTTTTAAGCTATACCTCAAAGAAGATGGGCCATTTCAACATAAACATTGAAATATGGGTATACTGACAGCTTTGTCACACGTGTAGTTTGACATTAGCAGCCCTTCTGAAACATTTTAATGAAAGTATAATTCACAAAATTCACATTTTCACTTACTTCTTCACATCTGTTTTAATCCAACTAGCTCTGTAGGCACGAGTGAAATTTAGTGTTGATGTAAATATCCATTTAGTTCATGTTTCCCCGGTGAAAATATAGTCTATTCCAACGCTGATTTCGACATACTTTAGCTTTTCAGAAACCGTTGGCCTTCCTCAGTGAGATTATCAACTGTTTCACAAACATGTTTGATAGTATACAGCTAAAATGTTCTCCGAAAATCTGTATTTTTGCTCTTCGACGCGAAAATGGCAACTCAAGAAGAAATGAGCCGCTATTTTTGGTCAGCGTCGACAAATTGCCCACCTGTTGGGCTCTGGCCAAATCCAAACCGGAAAAACATGGTATTAGAACAATAACCTTCGTTGTGGCCAATCAGATGCCAGTTTGATGTGGATTTGGCCAGAGCCCCTCGTCGCGCTCCGTAAGAAAGGCTCTGGGGACGAGAATGTTCTCTTCTGAGAGCAATCTCGAAACCAGAGCCTGCAAGCCTCCACAGAAGATATGAGAGCAATAAGTACAGAAACCCTGGGTACGGTGATTTCATTGGATTTATCTGGCTTAAGCCAACTTCGAGAACATTGGAAACCAGGATTCAGCAATGTTATTCAAATTTATTGCAACTCAACATTTTGACCCTTCAATTTTCTCAAAAAATGTAATACCCCCCCCCCCCTATTATTATTATTCTTATTATTATTATTTATTATTATAACGAATATTTACACAGGCTGGATATATACATTTCAGCACAAAAGTGCTGTTATCAATGTGAGTCTTGTTACACCTTAAGAATTAATTAAAAACTATTAAACTACTACCTATAGTTAGGAAGTTAGCCTACTACATATTATAACTACTACTTTATCATTTATTTATACTCATGGCCCCACCTTTGCCCCCCCCCCCTCCCTCTTCCATAAATAAAGACTTGTCCCAAACTCCAGGAAAAATCTGTGCACTTCACAAAACATTTATAACAATT